GAAGCGTGAAGCTAACGTCGGCGGCAATGCAGTTTCATTTCCTTCAGAAGGCTCGGAGGGAGAATCTGTTCTAGGCCTCTCTCCTAGTTTCTGATCATTGCCTGTAGTCTTAGCATTTCTTTTCTTTTTAATATATTTTATTGATTTTTTACAGAGAGGAAGGGAGAGAGATAGAGAGTTAGAAACATCGATGAGAGAGAAACATGGATCAGCTGCCTCCTGCACACCCGCTACTGGGGATGTGCCTGCAACCAAGGTACATGCCCTTGACCGGAATCGAACCTGGGACCCTTCAGTCTACAGGCCAATGCTCTATCCACTGAGCCAAACCAGTTAGGGCAGGGCAGCATTTCTTGACTTATAATGCATCATTCCAATCTCTTCCTCCATTGTCACATGGCCTTCTCTGTCCCTGGTTGTCTCTCCTCTTTTTTTATTTTTTTATTTTTCAATCCTCACCCGAGGACATGTTTCCATTGATTTTTATAGAGAGTGGAAGAGAGAGGGAAAGACAGAGAGAAACATCGATGTGAAACATATAGATTGGTTGCCTCCTGCACAAGCCCTGACCAGGGCCTGGGCCAGGGCCAGAGCCAGGGAGCAGCCTGCAACCGAGGTATGTGCCCTTGACCAGAATCAAACCCAGGACCCTTTGGTCCACAGGCTGACGCTCTATCCACTGAGCCAAACCATCTAGGGCTCTCTCCTCTTTTTATAAGAACACAAGTCATTGAATCTGGGGTCCAACCTAGTTCAGTATGACCTCATTTCAACTTCACTCTTTACAGCTGCAAAGACCCTATTTCCACATCCGATCACATTCTGAAGTTCGCAGTGGACATGGTTTTGAGGGGACACTATTCACCCCGATACACAACCAGCCATGGCACATGAAGCCCTTAGTTTGCATGTACTAAGCTTTGGTGACATCACCGTGGGTGGGAGCCCCTGGCTTGTCAGAGCCCATGTGGGCAATCTCAGCCGGTCATACCCGCGAGACTCAGAGTCTGGGAACATATGTCAGCTTATTCCAGGGTGGTGGCCTGGGCACCCCTCGGCACCCTTCCCAGCTGGGCAGCACTTGGAGAGTTTGAGAAGCAGATAGTTTTGAGGATTGTTTGCTTTCCTCAAGGGCAAAGGGGAAACTCCGTCCTTTTCTCCCAGCCAAAGAGGCTGCAGCACCCACATACTAAGCTTACAGCTCTCGGCCCTTCTTTCCTGCTACTAAATAATACTCGTGACAATAATGAACAATATGAACAATAACAATGAACACATCTAACACTAGCACTCTTACGTATTTTTGACTTGTTTAATCCTCATTAAAAAGCTCTGTGCAGCCCTAGCTGGTTTGGCCCAGTGGATAGAGCATCAGCCTGCAGACTGAACAGTCCCAGGTTCCATTCTGGTCAAGGGCACATGCCCAGGTCGCAGGCTCGGTCCCCAGTAGGGGGCGTGCAGGAGGCAGCCGATCAATGATTCTCTCTCATCGATGTTTCTATCTCTCCCTCTCCCTTCCTCTCTGAAATCAATAAAAATATATTTTTTACAAAGTCCTGTGCAGTAGGACTCCTTCATGGGGAAACTGAGGTACAGTCACTTGCCAGAAGTCATACAGCCAGGGAGTGACAGAGGCAGGCTTCCAATCCAGGCCGTCTGGATTCAGAGATGGCCGGTTTTACCCACTATGCAACCCGCCTTTCTGAGAGAATGACAGCGCACACTCCTGAAGCTTTCTGATGACTGAGCATGGAGCCCTGGGCACGATTGCTTTGAATCCTCACAACTCTGGGAGGCCTGGGGCTAGTCCTCATCCCAATTTTACAAACCAGGAAACGGAGGCGCACAGAGGTCACGGTTTCCCCGTGTGCACCAGCCTCTGTCTCTGCAGCTCCGCTTCCCATCCCTCCAGCTCAAGCCCAGCCAAGAGCATCTCTTCAACACAAGTTCTGCTCAGAGTCCCAGAGCTGAGCCTCATTGGTCCACCCCAGGTCATGTGACCCCCGCCAGCCCGATGTTGCCAATGGCTGGGCTGGAGTCACGTGACCTGCTAGAGCTAGACAGTCAAAAGCTGGCGTCCACCTGTTGGAACTGTAGTGGGTGCTGGGGGGGGGGTCCCCTGCAGCCCTGAGTTGCCCATATCGGGAAGAGAGTTTCCGGAGACCCCCCTTGGTCTCAGTAGGGGGTCCCCCCCTGCCCCAGGAGCCTGTGTCCTGACGCCCTCACTCCTGCCCCCCAGGCCCGAAGCAGGACGCGGAGGCAGCCAAGCAGTTCATCCTGGACATGTACAGCGGCATGTACGCCGGCTGCGCGGACGCCGCCGACGGGGGCAGGAAGGGCTCGCGCTCCCGGCGCCTCTTCAGCCACTACACGTGCGCCACGGACACGCAGAACATCCGCACGGTCTTCAAGGACGTGCGGGACTCGGTCCTGGCCCGCTACCTCGACGAGATCAACCTGCTGTGACCCAAGCCCCGCCTCCCCGGCTCGGACCAGCGAGCGGCCCTCCGGACCTGCGGGCGGGGCGGGGCGGCGCCCCGGGAGCCCCGATGCCTCCCCGGTCGCTCCAGGCCCACGTGGCGGGGGGGCCACGAGTGAGTTGCGGAAAGCCAGTCGCCGCCGCTCCTCTGCCCTTTGCCAGGACAGCTCCTGGGGTCCCCACTCTTGACTCCTCGAAAAAGGAGCACCATGGCCACCTGGGGTCCCCGGGGTGGAGGGGACGATGAAGAGAGCAGAGGACGGAAGACTCAGGACCCCCGCTCCGGGTCTGTCCCCTCCTGGGAAGAAGTCCGGGACCCCCGGGGGTGGTACACCCGCTCAGGGATCGGGCAGGGGTCCCGCAGGCCCAGGAACCGGACTCTGGCGCCCCTTAGTGGACAGGAGGTGGTATCTCCCAGTTTGAGGTTTGGGTAGCTCAGAGGCCGCCCTTGGTGGGGAAGAGACCCTGGAAAACGGTGTTAAGAGCCTCATGACTCGAAGTGTGTTCTGTTACGGTTTGCAGACGAGGGAAACGGAGGCTCACAGGTCTCCCCCTCTTCCCTAGGCTGGGGGCTGGGTGCGCTGCATCTTACAACCTGTATTTATTCCCTCATCTGCAGGGCCCCTTGTGAGTTGGACATTAAAGAGATGACATTCTGGAGACCTGTGATTTCTCAGGGGTGCCCTGTTTACCCCCCCCCCCCCCGCCGTCCCTTCTCAGGTCTCCTGTCCCACGAAGGGGAGAAACATGGGGAAGGAAGGAAAAAGGGTTATACTTGTTCACCCCCCTGTGCTGGGCACGGGGTATAGAGCTGTCCAGGAAAGCGCACACTCTGAGCCAAGAGGTAGAGTCCAGCCTCTCTTCCTGGAGGGGGGCCATTTAAGCCCACCCTATGTTGGTATTTACCCCAAATTCTAGCGGCAGCTCCCACCCATCTCTGGTGAAGATGAAGATAATGGCTCTACTTAAGCCAGATCATGGTGACCCACCATCCGCAGGGATGTCCCATGTAGCACAAGCCCTGTCGTGCCCATTTTACAGATGAGAAAACTGAGGCACCAAGAAGCTGAATAATTTGACTGAAGTCATGCACTTGGGAGGTCACACAGCCAAGATTCTATTCATTCAACACCTCCCCCCCCCTTTTTTTTTTACTTTAAAAAAACACCTTATGTTTTAGAATAGTCTTAAATTTACAGAAAAATTGTGAGGGTAGTGCAGAGAGTTGCCTTATAAAATTGCACCCAAATACCCCTACTGTTAACATCTTACATTAATATGGTACCTTTTTTTTTGTACAATCAATAAACTAATACTGACACATTATTAACTAAAACTTATACTCTATTCAGATTTCTTCAGTTTTCCCCCTAATATCCTTTTGTGCTCCCAGGAGCCCACATGGCTTTTAGTGGTCACATCTTCAGCTCCTTTGGGCTGTGATGGTTTCTCTGACTTTTCCTGTTTTTGGTGACCTTGACAGTGTTGAGGATGCTGGTCAGATATTTTTCCTAGGATTGCCGTAGCAAAGTACCACAGCCTGGGTGGCTTAAAACAATGGAAATGTATTCTTCCAATGTTGGAGGATGGAAGTGTGAGATCAAGGCAGCAGCAGGGCCACACTCCCTCTGAGGGCTCCAGGCAGGATCCCTCCTGCCTCTCCCAGCTTCTGCGAACCCCAGGCATCCCTTGGCTGGGGGCCAGTGGGACCTCTTTGAGTTGGCTCCTCGGTCCTGTTGACATGACCCCTGTGGCCTCAGAGGTCATAGTTCTGGCACAGCGAGATGCTTTTGTCTTGTCCTATACTTTCACAGCATTTGGCCATTTCTCCAAGGAGCCCTGATTCCTTTTAACGGGACATATTTAGAGACCACACTCTGACCACAAAGTTGGGAAATCCATATTTTCTTCACTTTTTATTTTGAAAATACTTTCAACCTACAGAAGTTGCAGAACTATTGCAATGAAGTCCCATCTACCCTGCATCTAGGTTAGGGTTCAGCAAACCATTGGCTTGCTGCTGTTTTTGTAAATAAAGTTTTATTGGCACAAAGCCACATCCATTTACATAGGGTCTCTGGCAGCTTTTCCTCTGGGGGGCAGAGTTTTGACAGATACTGTCTGGCCCTCAAAGCTGAAATGATTTACTCTGGCTCTTCTCAGAAAAAAATTGCTGACCCTTGAGCTGGTCCGCCCATGGTTAACCTTTTGCTTTATATTTCTCTATATACAAAATCTAAAAGTGTATTATATATTCCATAGAGAATATGGACATTTTCCCCCTTAATTTTCTAAATAATTTGAGAGTAGGTTGGAGATATGGTGCATCTTTACTTCAGATCACCATGTATTTCCTATGGGAAAAAAATCTGTTATATAAGCAGAATGCAATAGTCAAATTCAGGAAATCTAGCATTGATACAATAATATATTTTTAAATATATTTTCATTGCTTTCAGAGAGAGGAAAGGAGAGAGAGAGAGAGAGAGAGAGAGAGAGAGAGAGAGAGAGAGAGAGAGAAACATCAATGATGGGAGAGAATCATTGATCAGCTGCCTCCTGCATGCCCCACACTGGGGATCAAGCCCGCAACCCGGGTATATGCCCTGACTGGGAATCGAACACTGACCTCCTGGTTCATAGGTCGGCACTCAACCACTGAGCCATGCCAGCTGGGCATTGATACACTAACATTGTCTAATATACAGCTCATAAGAAAATTTCCTCACTGTTGTCTTTTACAGCACTTCCCCCCATTCTAGTATCCAGTCGGGAACCACTCACTGCATTTAGTTTCATGCATCTTGGGTCTCCTTTCATCCAAGACAGGCTTAGCCTTTTTTGTCTTTCCTGAACGTTCATGACCTTGACTCTTTTTTTTAAAAAATATATTTTATTGATTTTTTACAGAGAGGAAGGGAGAGAGATAGAGAGTTAGAAACATCGATGAGAGAGAAACATCGATCAGCTGCCTCCTGCACACTCCCCACTGGGGATGTGCCCGCAACCCAGGCACATGCCCCTGACCGGAATCGAACCCGGGACCTTTCAGTCGGCAGGCCGACGCTCTATCCACTGAGCCAAACCGGTCTTGGCTATGACCTTGACTCTTAAAAAGTATAGACCAGTTATTCTGTGGGATGTCCTCAGTGTGGGTTTGTTTGATGCCTCCCCATGACCTGATGCAGGTTGTATACTTTGGTGGGAATATCATAGAAGAAGTGGTGTTTCCTCCTCAGTGTGTGATGCCAGGCCAGCCTTGTGTATTTACTGCCTCTCCGGTGATGCTAACTTGGATCTCTTGGTTAAGGCTGTTACCAAAAGGGGCCTGGCCCCTGGCGGGTCTGCCTCGGGCTGGCTGGTAGTGTGTGGGTTCTTGACTTCGTGCAGGAAAAATTTCATAACCCAGGTCCCAGATGACTATGAGGGAATGTTTATTAAAGCTGGGACAGTAAAACAAGAAAGGGCTTAGCACAGAAGAAGCAACAAGAGAGCCTAGGCTGGGCTTCCCTAGCTCTCTGGGAAGTCAGAGAAAAGGAGGCCTGGGAACAGGTTCAGGTGTAAACCTGGGACGAGCTACCGCTGTCCATTGCTCCCCTGGTTGCAAGCCTCCTGGGGTCCTTCAGAACTTAGGAGATGCAGGCCTGTGGGGGAGGAAGAGGAGAAAGGGAATGGCGGGGTGCTCCTGAGAGGGAGAGCGTGTGCTGGGTCCGTTGTCTTGAAGTTTTTATCTCTCTCTTGCAGGAGGGAATATTGGGGGGGGGGGGTCTCAGGGCAGGGTTTTAGCAAAATATTCATCCGTTTTCTAGGTGTGCTCCTTCAGGGTCATGGTCTCCACCGATTGGTCAGTGTCAGGGCAGGGGGTCATTAGTCACTGCAGCTGGTCCTGGTGTCATACACCTGGTTTGACTGCTTTTCTGGGCCTGGAGCTGAAATACACTGAGGCCTGGATGTTCTCTCTCAGGAGGTGACGTTCTGGATCTGCTGTAAATTGCTCGGCCAGTTTATTTAGCTGTCTGTCTCCGTTTCCTATTCCACTTGTCCTGGCTTGCTGGCCTGTCTCAAGGCGACATTCAAGGGTTTCTTGAGTAAGATATTTTTCTCTTTGTAATTAAATATGTATTCTGTAGGAAAATACTTTGAGATTATGTCAATATCCTGCTCCCCAACAAAATTCCACCCAATAATATTTAATTTTATTGATTTCAGAGAAGAAGGGAGAGGGAGAGAGAGATAGAAACATCAATGATGAGAGAGAATCATTGATTGTCTGCCTTCTGCATGCCCCCTACTGGGGATCGAGCCTGCAACCTGGGCACGTGCCCTTGACCAGAATTGAACTCGGGACCCATCAGTCTGTTGGCTGACACTTTATCCACTGAGCCAAACTGGCCAGGGCTCTACCCAATAATTTTAGCATTTATTGTTGATTATTGCCTGGGCCAATTAATGCTATGATAATTACAAAAAAAGTGATTTCTCTAACTGCTATTGGGTAGCTGCCTAAGAGTGGAATTGTTGGATCATATGGAAAGATTTTTTTCTTCTAATTAGTTTTATTGTGGTAAAATACACATAACATAAAATTGACCATTTTAACCATTTTAAGTGTACTGTTCAGTGGCATTTAATCCATTCACATTATTTTTTTTATTATTATTAACTAGAGTCCTGATGCACGAAATTCGTGCATGGGTAGGGTCTCTAGGCCTGGCCAGTGATCAGGGCCGATCTGTGGGGCAACCGGTGGGGCAATTGGGGAGGGGGGACGCTCTGCTGGCACCCGCCTTGGCTGACCTGGGGCCTGCGGGCTGGGGGCAGCTCCTGCGTTGAGCATCTGTCCCCTGGTGGTCAGTGCGTGTCATAGCGACCCACCGTTCCACTGGTCGTTCTGCCGTTCGGTCAATTTGCTTATTAGGCTTTTATTATATAGGATTTCAGAGAAGAACGGAGAGGGAGAGAGAGATAGAAACATCAATAATGAGAGAGAATCACTGATCAGCTGCCTCCTGCACACCCCCTACTGGAGATCAAGCCCGAAGAAACCCAGGCATGTGCCCTTGACCGGAATTGAACCCGGGACCCTTCAGTCCACAGGCGGACACTCTATCCGCTGAGCCAAACCGGCTAGGGCCATTCACATCGTTGTGTAACCATGTCCACCACCCATCACCAGAACTGTTCATCTTGTAAAACTGAAACTGTCCCCATTAAGCACTAACTGCCCCTCCCCCTCCCCTAGGCCTGGCCCCCACCATCTACTTCCTTTCTCTCTGACTTTAAGGTCATTCATCGCTGGTGCTCATGTAGCTCCAAGTTTGGCCATCAGCAGCCCCTCGGGCTGGCTCCTGCATCTGTGTGACGGGTCCCCATCTTTCTTAGAGCACTTTCTTACTTCCTGACACACCAACGTGTTCCAGGCTCATCTTGTACTCTCCCTGCCTCACTACCTTTTTTTTTTTTTTTAAGGGGATGATATTCAGAAGCCAAGATCTGGGTGTTTGATGCTCTCATTGCTATTGAGTAGTTTCAGTGGACAGAGCCAGGACACAGATTTTTGTTTAAATCACAAGTCCAGCCCTGTAATGGTTCACAAGGTCAATGCTCTCTCCACTGAGCCAAACCAGCGAAGGCCACACTGACACTTTCCGTCCTGCTCCTGGGGTTCTTCTGCATTCTCCCTTTCCATTGGCGCATCTTCTCCCCCAGTGAAGACCTGGCCCTTCATATCAATACGCCTGCTACTGTGCTCCGTCCCATAGCACACAGGATGGTTTCAGAGTCACTACCCCATCCCACTCCTGAAAACAAATCTCCTACACAAAGTTCAAAATCTCTTTGCAGTTTTTTCTGTCTCCAGAGCAAGTACTGTGTCCAAAAATTGCATGGGCTGGTTCTCTTGTATTTCTGTGTGGTTTTGTTTTTCATTTGAAATGCAATTATGTTCATTTCTTTTCCATTTTATCCCATCTTAAAGCTCTGTTTCTCCATCCTTGTTGATTTAATTTCATTGTTGACTAACGGAGGCATTAACTGAGTTAAAAAAAACCGATATAAAGAGGGATGCTCAGAGGGTGTCATCCCCTCTCTTCAATTTCGATCCCCCCACAAGCCTCGTTGGTTTCTCTCCTGTGTTTGTTTTGCAAAAACAAGCAGATATGTGTATATTTTATCTCCTTCTTCATTACACAATAAGTACCAAGTGACCCAAGTCTTTCGTACTTTTCCCCCAAATTGACAAGATGATCTGGAAGTCGCTCTATTCACTCATAGAGGCTGTCCTCGTTCTTTCTCACGGCTGTCCGGGGCTCCACTCTGGTGCAGCATAATTTGTCAGCCCGTCTCCTGTGCACAGGCATTTGGGGTGCTAATATTTTTCATTTACAACCAACAATAATAACCTTCTCTGTGTTAACTTGCATATTTTTAGAGCTGTGGCTTCAGGGCCGATTCTAGAGGGGGCTTGTTCTTACAGCACAGACATATATCGTAAGATTAAATCAGGTATGATGTGTGTGTGCACGGCCTTTCGCCCAGGCAGCAAGTAATTCAAGGGCAAGGTCGTTGTTGGACAGCTCTGCAGTGTTCGTCAAACTGCTCTCTCATGGCATTGCATTTTAGTCCTGGATTTGCGCTCTGGGCCAGGGGTCAGGGGCCCAGCTGGGATTGGGGTTTAGTTGAGGTTGGGGCTCAACTAGAGTTGGGGCTCAGGGCTCAGTCCAGGGCTGGGCTCACTCAGGGTCATGGGTGAAGATCAGAATCAGCTTACGGTTCATCCCAGGTCAGGGGTCAGCCCGAGATCAAAGCTCAGTCTAGGACCGGAGCTCAACCTGGGACCAGGGCTCAGCCTGGGATTGGAGCTCCATCCAAGGACCAGCCTGGACTGAGGATTCAATCCCGGGTACAGGCTGAGTCTCAGGACACGCAGTGTGTCTCGGTTAATGTGTGCACGTCAGCGGTCCCTGGTGAGGCCAGCGCTGAGGCCAGCTGTCCTACTGCACAGGGTGGTACCTGGGAAAGACTCGGCTGCCTTTCCCACCCCACCCCAGGCCTCAAACCGCAGCTGCCTACACAGCTTCCTGAGCGGCCCCTCTTCCCCAAACTTCCCTTTCAGATCCGTTATTGCTCGGTCACCTCTAGTGACAAGATGCTACCGCCTCCTCAGGCAGCACCTCGACCTGGGCTTCCCTGTGATGGTTCCGCTCCCACACTGAGTAGTGAGCCGTGGGGGAGGTGCTGGGCGGGAGCCACGGCCACCTGAACGCCCTCCCGAGCTCCTGCCCACCCACCTCTCTGGGCACACGTGTGGGCCTGGCAGGGGAGCCTGCCTCCCCCTGGAGACCCCAGGGCAGGACGGAGCCTCGCCTCTTCAGGTTCCCCAGGATCGGCTCCACTCCCCCAACTTCTCACCCCCACTTGGTGCTCACACCTCAGTCCTCAGCCATCTCCGATTGGGTCAATCTGAGCCCGGTCAGGTGGACATGGGTGGGAATGGGGGTGGGGTGAGCCCCCATTTTTCCTGTGAGCCCCTCTCCCCAAAGGTGAGGGGCTGTCCTGGGTGGGGGTCCCTAGCTCGGCTCCTAGTAGGGCCAGCTCAGGGGACAGGAGAGACAACCAGCAGTGAAACTAAAAACTCTGCTAAGTTGGGTCCTGGCCTTGGAGGATCCTGTGTTTGTAGGTGGTCGCTTCCCACTGTGTGACCCTCGATAGCTGGTGCCACCTCTTCAGGCCTCGGTTTCCCTTTCTGTGGACGGGTGGGCCACAGGTCTGTCTGGCCCTGTCATGGGGATAAAGTGGGGCACGTCCGCACCTTCAGCAAAGCGGCCAACAGAGCCCTGGCCGGTTTGGCTCAGTGGATAGAGCGTCGGCCTCCGGACTGAAGGGTCCCAGGTTCGATTCCAGTCAAGGGCATGTACCTTGGTTGCGGGCACATCTCCAGTGGGAGGTGTGCAGGAGGCAGCTGATCGATGTTTCTCTCTCATCGATGTTTCTAACTCTCTATCCCTCTCCCTTCCTCTGTAAAAAATCAATAAAATATACATATTTTTAAAAGTGGCCAGCAGTGCTCATGCTCATGTGTGTGCAGTCACTTGACACACACTTATTAAGCACCTACTGTGTGCCAGGCACAGTTGAAGCAGTGGGAAGACAGTGAAGGAATAGCTGGGTGCTGGAGGGAGTCACCTTGCTGGGCAGGGTGGCAAGTGCTTTTGGGTGGTGCATTTCCCCCTCCCTCTGGGGCCCCTACCCCCCTGGGCTTTCGAGGAACAGAAGGGGACAAAGGAGGGGGTCTTGCAGCTTTTCCATCTGCAGCGCCCTCCAAGGCCCTGGGGTGGGAGCGGA